CGAGTATTTGTTTCGTATAACTGCACAGTGCGATTGTCTCGTGTGACCGTGCAATGTGATTGGATCGAGTATTTGTTTCGTATAACTGCACAGTGTGATTGCCTCGTGTGACTGCGTCGTGTGATTGCTTCGTATAACTGCATAGCGCGACTGCTTCGTGTGACTGCGTCGTGTGATTAGCTTCGCTTGACTGCAGGAGGTTGTGAGTGTATTGACTTGAGCATGTTCACAAGAAAGGAAGGGTTGCCCATAGAGGTAAGAGCTAGGATGTGCCCTGAGGGAAATTGAGCGTGTGACTTTGTAAGTCTGTGGACGACTGTGTGAGTTTGCGGTAACTACGAAAGGTCTGCAGACACGCTGTTTCGTAAGTAGGACATCCAATCTCTTTCTTTTCTCATGAAATCAAAAGCTGAGTGATGAAACGATATGGGGCGAAAGGACAGTTGAAAAGGGTAGCTTACTTGATCGCCAAGTTCCTGCTTGATGGGGACGGATACCTCCTGCTTCTAGTAGCATCAGAATACTCACTCAGTGGGTTTTCCAGTTTGTTTGGAGATTTTTGATGACTTAGCTATTCTAATAAGAAGAAAGATTCATCCGCAGGGTACGCGTACAACCCACCCCCAGAAAATTGACAGCCAGGCAGAATGGGTTTAGGGGGCTCCACGTCTGCCCAACTCCTGACAAAACTTATGTTCAACAGGGGAGATTAAAGCACACCTTACATGTCAAAAGATGAGTGTTTGACGGGACAGTTTAGCGTCCCGAACACCTTCTTAGGGTCGCACGCAGTGTATAGGTAGCCCTCCATCTGATACTTTATTAAAATCGTCACTGAAGACTCAGAGTACTAACCTAGAGTGCATAATATTGGTCATGCTTGATACGAGTGCTTGCATTCGTGGCTAGTTTGAAAGGGAAAGATGGAGAACAAGGATACAATAAGAGTAACCTATTCGTTGCATCAGGACAAGACCTAACGTTGGGAAGAGAGAGTGACTGAGAGTTTCCNGGGAAAGATGGAGAACAAGGATACAATAAGAGTAACCTATTCGTTGCATCAGGACAAGACCTAACGTTGGGAAGAGAGAGTGACTGAGAGTTTCCATCGCCAGAAAAGGCTCATGAGGGAACGAGCTCTGATGTTGGTGAGAGGTCAGACAGTCGTGGAGTATACTTGCTACGTTTATGGGTCTGACGGGAAATTACACAGTACTTTCTCATCGGTGGAATCCATTGAGGGGGCAAAGAGGATGGTTGTTGGAGGTAAGTGAGGAAGTTTAATCTCCAACTCGGTAAGAGAGGGATTTTTATCAGACAGGGACGGGCCAAAAGGAAAGAACCAGGTTCAGAAAACAGATTGCAGCCGGACACAGAGTAAGTCATTGAGTCACGAGCAGTCAATGAGACAACTCGCAAACAAGAGACAACTATCAGTTAATTAACAACATTCAATTATTCGTCATAAGTCAACCAGCAACACTTTATTTTCCGTCAGCAATTAATCAAGGATGCTCAGTTCCTGATCATGGGTTGATCAACAGTTGAACGACACTTGATTGGCGATCAGTTAGTGCTCAGATAATAATTTGAGTGGTATTCAGCCTTCACAGTTTAGCTATCAACCAGCAGCCAGAAAAAAAAAAAAAAAAAACCATCAATCGGAGTAAGAGTTTAGAAAGGTAATCAAAACAGCGACACTCAACAAGCAATCTGTCAGCAAGCAATCAGTTTTCAGACCCGTAGTTGAATAGTTTCCTGGTCAGCGATCATTCAATCCTCTAATCAGGATTGAGAATCAACATTAAAAAATCAGCAATCAGTCAGCTTTCAGTTCACGAATCAGATCAGCAAGTAATCAGTCCAAGCAGTCGTGTCAAGTGTTTTGATCAGCGGTAATCAGAAAGGCAATCAGATCGGTAAGCAGTTTAGCAATCAGATCAGCAACCGAATATGCAATCGAATCGGCAACCAGATCAGCATCCGTATCAGTAATCCAGCAAACGGTTCAACAATCAATTCTGTAACCAGACCAGTGATCAAGTCACTGATAATCATCGGACGGCAAACAAGACATTCATGAGTACGGTCCAATCCATCCTGGTCAGCGAGTTAGTGCTGACCAATCTCAACCAGCGTTTACGCAAGGAGGCCATTCGTTACCAGTATGTCAATGTCATCGGCTTCAGACAGGGGGACCTGTCAGTCTTTGTTGTCCAGACCAGTTTTGCTGATGATATTATTCATGACTTGAGGCCATACCTGAAAAAGGGCAAGAGGGCTCATGAGCATTTTGACCCTGTTTGGATCTCAGCCACCAAATACCTCGAGCAGAGAGAGAAGGAGCTCGATGAGGGTGGCACTACGCTGATCCACAGCTTTGGGCCAAAGCTTTATACGGACTACCCCAAGCCTGTTGTTCCTTCTCTTCTTACGGATGGCACGAGTTGGCTGGATATGGTTGACTTGGCAAAGAGGTATTCTCTCCGGCAGTGATCGACGTTGAGGCACTGACTGAACCCACCGAGTACCCCTACCTCAGGCGAGGAGTCTTTTCAGTGGACGGACTACCTACTTTGTGGGAGGAGTTTTGCTCCATGGTTAACTACCGCGTCATGTGCCTCGGATGGTCATGCTCAGAGCTTRCTGGCTTCAGGTGRCTCTTTATCAYGAAGCCTCAATCTCAAACTGTACGCGGGGGTGGTTCTCAGCACCAGAGATGAATAGCAAGATGAGAGATTGAGAGAGGCTGACTAGAGGGATGAGTGAGAACTCTTGTGAGGTGCTGACCATGCTTGCTTATGTGTACTTTCAGGGATTATTATGAGTTCTCATTCTTCCCTCATTCAATTGCCTTTGTCTTCGCTGAAGTCAGTCAGTCTTATTTTCTGCATCNTATGTGTACTTTCAGGGATTATTATGAGTTCTCATTCTTCCCTCATTCAATTGCCTTTGTCTTCGCTGAAGTCAGTCAGTCTTATTTTCTGCATCAATCTTGCATGATGATTGCCCTTGCGAATGATTCTGTCACAGTTCTCAGAATCAGCTTGACATAACTGATGCATGCATTGCACCTCATAATTTTGTAATTATTTATTTGCATAATTCTCTGTTGTTACGAATCAAAATAAAACATTCTTTAGACCGGGGACCGGCGAAGACCGCAATTGAAGGGTCTCGCTCGAAGCTGGACTCACACAACAGGAAGGGATTTCCATTATTTAATTTATTTTATTTATTGCAATCACATACAAAATCCTGCGTGACAGCCTGTTGGCTTTCCGGTCGCCTAAAGCGACTTGACTGGAAAAAGTGTGACAACGTGAATCAGGACAACTCGATCTGACACATGTGCGGGGACTAGGTAGCTGATTAGTCTTGATTGATTGATTAGAGCACATTAGTTAGCCCTCAAAATCATGATTTTGACCTCACTTTCTCGCTATTTCTGTTGTGGATAATCGCAATAGCGAAACATCTGAAATTTTCGTTTTCGTTTTTCTTCTGAAAATTCGAAATTTATTGTTGAAATCCGGAATATCTTTATTTTCAAAAATTTCGATTTCCTTTTGCGTTTTCCGTTATTTAGAAATCGTGAATATTTTTTCCCGAAATTCGTTTTTAAAAACGGTACGAGAAATCACTCTTTCAGTTATCATTCTCCAACTGTCCGTACTCTCATCTGAGTAATTTCGAATATTTGTTGTATTATTTTTTTTCAGAATTCTCATCGGACAATCATTTACAGTCAGAAAGTTCGAAGTTTTTCCTCGGGGTAATTTCGCACTTTAGGGGGAGTTGGGAGACCTACTAAACCTGCAAACGAGTATTTTTTTCTTTTCCTCGAAATTTTTTGCGAAGTTCAAACTTTTTTTTTTTGATTAGTGGCTCTTTATCTGGGCGATTTATCCCCACTCGCCCCTCCCCACCTATGTTGTTGCCCCCTCTGGTCTTACCTTCTCTATCTGTCTTCCGGTACTCCTGCCGCGGCATTGGTGAGTTGCCACGTGAGGAGGCCACACCAGCAGACCACGCCATCACGCCACGTCAGCAGGACACGTCAGCAGGACACCTCAACAGCCACATCAGCAGCAGGGAGTGCCACGTCAGCAGGCCCCAGCCTGATCTATGCTTACACGCTCAAAAACAACCGTCATGGACTAGATGTCCGGGGAAACGGACGAGGATTATCAGGCCTGCATGCTGCTTCTAAATACTGAAGCTAAGCAACGGTCGGATGCAGTAGCAGCCGCAGAAAAGCAGAAGTCAGAGGACGCCGAGAAGGCACATCTGCTGGCAATTGAACAACAGTGCCAGCACGACGAGGCAACAGCAAAGGCTGCCGATGAAGAACGAGTTCAAAATCACGAGAAGATATTCAGCGGAGAGTGAGTTTTGCTCACACTGGCAGCGGATTGGCGGACCGAGGCCGAGAATGACAAGGTGGAAGAGAGTGAAAACAAGATCGCTCTCCTCCTCTCCGATCTCACGGACCTCCTGGCAATATGCATTACACACCAGGAGGATATCCACAACCTCGACGACGCGTTGGCTCAAGTCCACAGCCGCCTCCGGCAGCTGGAGCAGCGACCCGTCGCCGCCCTCGATGCCAGCTCTTCCAACACCTATGATCGCCTCGAGGCATTGGAGATTGACGGCTTGCAGTTACAGCAAACCGCAATGCAACAGTTGGAGCAGCAGATCTGTAATACCGCCAACCACTAGAGCTCAGAACCGCGCGAGACAACTCCAAAGTTCGATGGGCAGAAGATCTTCTACGACTTGACGAAGACCGACTCGATTCCATGGTTCTGCAAGTTCGAGCTCACGTTGCAGCTACACTACGTCAAAGAACACAAGCACCACGCGTACTTATACTCCCGGTCGGGGGGTGCGTGCCAAGCATGATTGGATAATCTCTTGTCCAAGTACGGAGTGGTCGCTGCCGACTTGCATACCAAGATCAACTGGGATGATCTAAAGGCGGCGAGGCATAAGCGTTTCCAAGAAGAGCCGTCAGAGATCAAGGCAATGGACAAACAGATGGTCTTCGAACAAGGCACGCTGCCAAGTGTTGATTGGATTGTCGAGTACCAACGCTTGGCATCCGTCCCAGATATCCAAATGGGTTTCAAAGCCATCAAACACTACTTCATTTCGAGGTCATGTCCTGCGTTGGGCAATGCCTTCACTCACATCGAGGACACCCTGGCGACACAAAAAAAACTCTTCGACAAGACCGCGCAGATTATTGT